TATTAATTGTCGATCCATTATCTATACACTGAATTAACGACGGATTTTCCGTTCATTCTCGAACATCACAAGGAGGTTGAAGGAGCGCACGGCGGATGTGACCGGTCTTCAGGGGATGCTCATTCCTCGATGACATCTGATCTCAGCTCTGATGTTTCGGAGATCCGTGTTTGCTCTGCTCCTATTTATATTGTTAAATAGATTTTTGAGCTTGAATACTGTTCGTTATCTCCATGTATTTCAATATAGTGAACCTTACTATAAAACTTTAGTTTTTGCTTAAATAAAGAGTGGATGCATATTTATAATATTTTGAGATAATAATTATTTGCATTACAACGATTGAAAATCATTCATTCAAATTTTTCTGATGAGCATGAATTTATATTTATAACAACTTTTGCAAAAACTTCTGACATTACTAGATGGTAGAAATGCCTGAAGTATTATAATAAAATGTGAAGATAACACACAATATTGATGCCCAAAAGTTCATTTAGACGTTGAGAATCAAAACTAAGCAAACACAGATGTCTAAATCATAAGGGATGGCATAAGGTGCAATCGAGAAGTGAGGTGCCGACCTGCCGACCAGTCACATCAAAGTCATCTGAGTTGCAAGTCTAAAAATCTAAATAGCTGTTCAACATTTTCATAGTTCGTAATTCAGCAACAAGTTAATAACTGCTATTGAATGATAATCACAGAGACTTAAAGTTTAGGTTATCTGACAAAACATATTCTGACCTGATAGACCCTATCCTAATTTTTCAACATTGAATTTGATGAAAATAAAATGCTGACAAATTTCCCCCTTTCAAAACTGTAAGATTGTTATGTACCTCGACAAAATTCTAAAAAAAAATAACAGATCATTTCCAGCTCTAAAAAACTAGTCATATTAGCGACACATTACAACACAATAAAGTAAATCAAGAAGAAAAAGATACCAAGAAGGTGTTCTCTGATTTCCTATTGATCAGATACAAACATATAAGCATTTATGGCTTTTATCACCCAAGTCAATCGATTGATCATCTTCATGGAATCGAAAAAAACTGACAGTTATTCCTTATATAAACATGCACTTGATTCCGCCAATCCACGTGCTACAAGCTCTGCTTCTGTCTAGCTTTTTGTACCGTCCTGCACGTGATTTTTGTTAACTGCGCCTATTGATGAACCAGTAAATTCATGTAGAAATAAAGTCCATTATCTATTTGTAATTTTATCTCGGACAAAGACATTGGAAATTTAAATATATGATATTAAAAAGCTGGACTTTCATTTATTATGGGGGAATGATTGACCGGTCGGCATGGGATGCTCACAACTCCATTACACCTGTTCCTTCCTCCGATGTTTTGGAGGTCCGTGTTTGCTCTGCTCCTATCTTGTTTTGTTTTATGCACTATTGATCTTTAATATTGTTCGTTATCTTCATATGTTTCATTTTTAATAAAGTCGTAAGTTTTAATACTGTAGATTTTGGTAAATGTTTGTCACTTCAAATTTTCCAAAAGTTACTGGAATTTTTTAAAAAGTATTCCAAGTCATGAAAATCATTTAATTTAACACCAAGTAATCTCCATAGCAACGGAATTTATACCCTAGCAACTGACTTGACAAGGATCGGCAAAACATGAAACATACACCCAGGAAATTAAAGCCTCTCAAGTGGAATATTTGGGTCATGACATCCTGATAAACTGTCAACCCTGTTGTACTTACCCCATCATATAAGTAATAAAAAGTACCATTGCTCTACAATGTCTAATAGTTATACAATATAGTCAGAATGTGGACCAAATACGCAAAAACTTGACCATATATATGACATAACAAAAGCTGAAGTTATATGTCAAAATGACGCAATGTTCAACCCAAAAGGGCTCCAATGCTCTGTCTACTGGCTAATTTACATTGCTGTACCATGTTTATTATTCAAGTTATAAACCTAAAAACAACTAGAACTGTCAGAATGGGACAAAAATCCCCCGCTGGGTATTTTTTAGAAGTGCTAAATCATGAATATTTTATGGATCTAGAGAAGAGAGAAAAGCTAAAACAGTTTAGTGCAAATGTAATTGCTCATTAATTTTTTTTTTATAAATGAAACTAAAATAGACTGAATGTATGGATCACACATGAATTTTGAATTTTTTTTGTCAGTGACCTTGAACTTGCATAAATGACCTTGGTTTAAAGTCATGACAAGAACTGAGGTCAAAGCAATGTTTGTGTAAAATGGGAACCTTCCAAGTTTATCCATAAGAAAGATATGGACCAGACATGAATTATAATTTTTTTTACTGTCCGTGCCCTTGAGCTTGGACAGTTGACCTTGGGTCAAAGTCATGACACACCCTTATGTCATAAGTAATCTTTGTGTAAACAAGAAAGTATCCACGTTTATCAATGAGAATGACATGGACCAGGCACAAATTATGAAGTTTTTCCTTTCAGTGACATTAAACTAACACGAAGAACCTTGGGTCAAGGTCATGACACATCATCAATACAATAAGAGATTTTTGTGTAAAACAGGAACTTACCAAGTTTTTCCATAAGACAGATATGTACAAAACATGAATTATGAACTTGTTGCTTTTATAACCTTGAACTTGCATAGATATCCTGGCATCAAGGTAATGATACACCCTCAGGTTATAAGGAATCTTTGTGTGAAATAGGAACTAACCAGTTTATCCATAAGCAATATATGGACCATGCACATATTAAGAAAGTTTCCTTTCAGTGACCTTGAACTTAAATTACCTTTGCTGAAGGTCATAACAAACCAGGTCATAAACCCTCTTTGTGTGAAGTAGTAGATTCAAGTTTATCCAAAATAAAGATATGTACCAAACATGAATTTTACAATTTTCTTTAAGTGACCTTGAACATGCACAGATGACCTTAGGTCAAGGTCATGACACACCCTCAGGTCATGAGGAATCTTTTTGTAAAATGGGAACTTACCAAATTATTCCATAAGAAAGATATGGAACAGACACAAATAATGAAATTTTTCTTCCAGTGACCTTGAACTTCCCCAAATGACCTTGAGTCAAGATCATGACACACTCTTAGGTCATGAGCAATCTTTGTATGGAGTAGTAGATTCTAATGTTCCTCCGTAAGAAAGATATGGACCGTAGATGTTTGCACAGCTCAGTAGGACTTGATGGACAGATAGACAAACAGACAGACAAGCTGATTCCTATATACACCCCCCCCAAACTTCATTTACAGGGGGTATAATGAGAATTCGTGTCTGTTAAACACAAGACGACCTTATACTTATTCAAATGAAAATAAACCATTACATCAGCAAGGCTTGTGAAAATGTAGTTTACAGCAACTTTATATTTAGTTTTATCTTATTTTACTATCAAAGACCAATCAACTGGTCAAATATCAATGCTCACTGAAAGTATCACAGATATGAAGGTAAAACAAGAGTTTTCCATTGAAAATGTATGTCTCAGGAATGACATATCAAATTGTAACAGACAGATAGACAGCTATTCAGACTGACAGACAATGGAGAAGTGATCCCTCAGAGTCCTCTTGCTATTCAGGCGACACAACTAGGCACCATTTCAGCATACCTTGTACCTTATTCTGAGACTAATTTTTTTCTGAAGTGTACAGTCAAATAATCTACAGAAATATTTTGCTAGAAATAATAATATATCGTAAAAGTGGAAATTTTAGCGAGATGCAAATTTAGCAATTTCTACCAAAGTCTGGCATTTTATTTTTAGCCAGAAGTAATTTTAGCGATTTTAAAATTTTTACTAAAGAAGCTATTACAAATAATAAGACATTAATTTTTTAGCAATATTCAATTTTAGCGATGTCAGCACCCTCTCTAATAATGCCAAAATTAAATCCTCACTAAAAATTCTACTTATACAGTATGTTCTTCAAAGTACATTTATGCATAGTAAACAAGAAGTATGACACATTTGATTTTAGATATTATCTATTTTAACCAACTAGAGCTAGAGCAGTATAATCCAAGTGTTGTCCACAGACAGATGGACAAACAAACAGGGTGATTCCTATATCCCCCTTCCAAAAACTTTGATATCAAAATCTTAAACTTAGTAAGAAAATGTTTTTTGTTCACTGCTTTAAGAGCCATATCAGAAATCTGATTCAAATTGTTCATGTTCCCTTCAGCTGTCAATCATTTTCTTCACAGAGAGTGTTAGACCTCTGCCTTTTCACCAATGACATCAAGATACATAATCAAGGTCTTCCTTCTATGTAATGGACTATCTTCATGCTCTTGAGAAGCCTGGCATTCAGATGACTTTCACAAGGTGTTTGGAAAAGTTGTCGTCTGAAGTTGATTCCACCTACAAAAGAAAGATACAAAATCAATCCAACTAACAACTTCATTTAAAACAAGTTCATTTTGACACAAATAATGCTCATGCTGAGACAGTGTTTCACAGCCCTGAGCCAAAGTCACACCTTCAATGTCAAGGTCAAGGTAAAATTTGATGGAGTTTTCAGGTCTGTATTTCTATATGCCTCATGGAACAGCTTCATACTTGGCATACAATGCTCCTAATGATAAGGTTGTGTGCCATGACCCTAACTCAATGGCAAATTTCAATGCTAAGGTCACAGTAGACTTCAATGAAATTGTCTTATCTAAAATGCATTTCATACCTGCCTCAAAAGCACAGCTTACATGACACAAATGTGCCTCATATATCAGTCTTTAACAACCTTTGACAGAAGACCAGGTGAGCAATACGGGCCCATTTTAGGCTTCTTGTCTGGGTTTAAAATATGAAGTTCATAGGTCAAATGGATTTAAGTTATTGAGTCACAATCCTTTCAAGTTTGAAGTTTCATAGCATTTGAGTTATCTCTCGACAAAGAAATGGATGAACAAAGTGATTACTGGTACTCTTTGAAGCTGGGCTTTATGAACAAGCTGATGCTCAAGTAGTTCTAAACAATTCAGTACATGTAAAAAATTCAGTACAAACCTCTATATTCCATATGTTTTGAATCTGGTTGTACTTCATGGTTATTCTGTAGTTCACATAGCAACTCATCATCATCATGATTCTCCTGAAAGTATTTCATATCTGTTTACAAATTTACATGACCCTACTGCATATAGTTGCTGATTCTTTATAATAAACAAGCTGATGCTAAAAGTAATTTAAAGCAAGATAAGTTTGTGAAACAGTATGCCCCCAGCATCAACAAATATAAAAAAGCTAGTTTTAGCAAAAGATTGATCTAAAGGTTACTGACGTTGGTGTAATTTAAAAAAACTTAATTAGTGGATTATGTATACAAAATATGATCTCACAGTTCAAAAGTCATGGTAAAGGTTAAAGCTGACAACAGATAAACAGAAAGGAACAAACAAAAATATGTTCATGCTCTTTGTGCATAATAATTCAGTACATGTAAAAATTTCAATACAAACCTTTATTTGTTCCACATTAATTGGATCTGCTTGTACTTCAAGGTTATTTGTTAGTTCACATTGCAACTGATTATCATCATGATTCTCCTGAAAATATTTTAGACCTGTTTACAAACTTACTTGAGCCTATAGCATATACAGGTATAGTGACTGGGGTATGATATAAGACATTAAACTGGACAAAGGGGATACTCCAATTTAGTTTCACATTTTCAGAATTATCGTTTTCAGAAATTGTGCCCAACATGATAAGGGCTTAGGAGGAATAGCACCCCACCCACTCCTTACTTTTTTGGGAAGTCAAAATTTCCTGTAGTTAAAATTTATAAATCCTGGTTCCGCTCCCCTCCACTTTAAGGGTCAGGAGCAAATTTTGAAACCAGAGTTGAGTCTGTTATCCTAGTTTCCCTTCCCCTTTTCAAATCAATATTAGCAACCTCAAGTTTTGTCATCTTGTTTTAGTGTAGCTGCAGAACTGTAGCTCTCCGAAAAAATATATATTGATAGACCTGAGATAATGAGGTGTAGCAGGTATGGCTATGAATTTTTTTTGAAATATTGTTTGGAAATATTGTTTGAAATATTACTTATCAAAAGAACACTAATATGCAGACATACACGATTGGAAATCTACCAATTTGACCTTATCAGTGATTGATGAATATGCTCTAAATAATAAAGTCTGAAATATCTGGCATTTTTCAGGTTTTTTTTTTAAAATATTTTCTGTGCCAGGAAAACGTCAGAACCAGCGCCATTACGAAAACTGGAAATTTCGCCATTTCCAGTCAGAGTTGATTTCCCATACCTGGGAACCGCATTAAATGCCGTTGTTACAATTTATCAATGGTACAATGCTTTAAGTACTTGACAATATCAATGAAAAGAAAATAATCACTCCTCTTTTCGATACAGGATTTGTATATTTTTTTTTAATTTGTAAACGCACGAAATGAAAACAAATCTCGACAGTCAGAGAAAATGTTTCCATCATGGATCATATATTTACAAAAAACCATAAAAACTATATTGGTAAGTACTAGAGGCATTGTACTATTGATAAATTGTGAGTTTGACAAGTAATTGCAAGCATCGAAAATACACCGAGAATGCCGCCTCTGCTTGGAATTCCCAGTTTTCGTAAAGGCGCCGGTTATGGCGTTTTCCTCGCACGTAAAATACAGAAATAGTTAAATAGCCAGGAAAACGTCAGATATTTCGGACTATATATAGTACTTTTCAGTCACCTACAAACTCTTGATGCTGTCGTGTCCTCTGTAACCGCACAAGACCTGCTTCATACATCTTTCCATTCGACCATTGTGTTTTTCTTCTCCGACTTCTGCTGCAACTCCAACTTTCTGTTCTTTATCAGCAGGAGAGTTCCACAAAAGGGAGATAATCGTTCACGCGTTTTCATATTTGTGGTACATTCTAAATCAAATTATTTGCTATAGAGTAACCAACTACCATTTTTTATTATTGGATTTATAACTTCAAAGCTCGTAGTTTCCACTGGGTGAAAAAAGTGGTTTCCCATCATGGGAAACTTTATGGAAACCACATGGAAACTTCAAGTTTACATCATGTTTCCCAGTGGTTTCCGTAGCGGATGCTAGGTTATTCCGCGAAGTTTCCGTGACATGGAAACCCCCTACGCTCCGATTCCATAAGGTATCCCGAACCACGGAAACCTCTGTAAACCTGAAGTTTCCCGAACATCCATGTAGTTTCCCGTAATGGGAAACCTGAAGATTCCACTGGTTTCCAGAATCAGGAAACTTGATGGAATCGGAGCGTAGGGGGTTTCCGTGGAATGGAAACTTGGTGGAATCTTTAGGTTTCCTTTTACGGGAAACTACATGGAAGCTTGGGAAACCTCATGATTCTTAAGTTTCCTTGACTCAGGAAACCATATGGAATCGGAGCGTAGTGGTTTCCGTGGAATGGAAACTTGATGGAATCTTTAGGTTTCCTTATACGGGAAACTACATGGAAGCTCGAGAAACCTCACGATTCCTAAAGTTTCCTCCACTCAGGAAACCATATGGAATATGAGCGTAGTGGTTTCCATGGAATGGAAACTTGATGGAATCTTAAGGTTTTCTTTTATGGGAAACTACATGGAAGCTCGTGAAACCTTATGATTCCTGAAGTTTCCTTGACTCAGGAAACTATATGGAACTTGTGTAGCACTTTCTGTGTGGCAGAAACTTGGTGGAATTATCTGGAGTCCCATTCCTTGTGGAAATTACTGGGAAACTTTTAAGATTCCCTAACTTTTCTGAAAGGAAGCAATGTGAAATAATGCGAATTCTTTTAAAAATCTATCAAAAAAATTTATTACATGTAAAAGGAAAAAGCATTACCATTTTTTATGTTTAATAATTCATTTGATGTACAAAAACTGTAACTGTATTTTTCAATGTTATCAAAATATTAAATAAATTCAAATATCTTAGATAAACAATGGAACAGTCTTTCACATTTAAGTCCATTCATAAGGGTCATTAAGTACTTTCAACATCAGTTTCCTGGTTTTCTTCTCATCACCTATGATCTGCAATATTCATACAAAATTATTATATGATGTCAGAATTATAATGCTTGAATATAACTTAGAAATCTGAAAGATCAGTCAATGTCCTTAAATATACCAATATCAATAATTACTTTCCATGACCATGATACATATGATTTCAGCATTTAATGTGTATTTATTTAAATATTCAGATGCTTTATGATAAGTGAAAAAAAAAATGACGCAAATACAAATAATGTTTTCAGCCTTTTATTATGTTAGTAGAGAAATTATTGCTACATGTATAATTTTTCCAGAACCCTGCTTTAAGTTTGATTCATTTAAGAAGAACATTACCCTTTATAATAACAAAAATATTAGGGAGAGATTTTTTTTTAAATTTTAACATCAACCTAGAAATTGGTAAAGTCATTAAAGTCTCCTTCACCCCATTGCACAAAAGCTTGATTACACCAGGGGAGAAATATATTCTGGACTACGATTTTAAACGAAGATATACAGTAGATTTTGATATTGGCCTTTTGACCTAGAAAATTCCATTTCCAAGGTCACTTTTCATCCTCTATCCACAGGCTCTCTGTAGTTTAAGTTTGAGAGAGAAATATGCACAGAACAAGTGATTTCAGATGGAGTGATGGGTAGACACTGTCTTAGGGCATCCACAGAACAGGACCTAAAAATAATGCAATATATATGTATTACAGTATGGATATACTTGCACTTGTATGTTAATGATTTATCATATGCTGCATCGGACACATATGATTTTATCATGGTTTAAGTATACATGTATCTTATGAGTAATTTTATACCGGTATTGCATGTACGCTCAGTTTATTTAAGAAATAAATAACAAGTTTATAAACTTCAATGGGAGAGATACCACAAATGCATATATAAACAAGTAATTTAATTTTTTTTTACATATATTGACCAACATTATTTACATCCATTCATCATGTTCATGAATTGGCTGATCAAAATTCAGTCAGTTTTAGATCTATATGATATACCATAGTCAGTTTTAGATCTATATGATATACCATAAAGGACTTTCACATTTACAAAAGTTATTCCCCTTTGCAGGGTCGATCTGGGGTCAACCGGCTTAAGACGCTGTTTTCCCTCTTTAACCGTATCAATTTTGAGGGACAATATCTTAGAAATAAAATCTGTATGAACATATTCATTATGATTTTCATGTTGCCCCCATACTCTGGCAATACAGATCGTAATTGTCCAACATTTTTGAAGATTGAAAATATTAACAAGTAACTTACAAAGGACATTGCGGGGGAAATAGCGATACGCCGACAATTGGAGAAAACTCTTAAGAATGTGAAATTCGTCTATTGGTAATGACTTTTCCTGTTTTAATGTCACTGAAAAATTAAGAGACATTAAAAATTTAAGCCCTATTGTCATACACGCATGCAGTTTTTTCATCCATATAACCTTTTAGTATCATAAAATTTACCAAAATTTAATACTTCAAATAATTTCATTGAATATCTATAAAATAAAGGAAACTCTTAAAACTTAGTGACTTGCAGAAATTATTCCTTGGAGAGAAAAAAATCTATCATATTTCATATAAATATGTGCATAATGAGCCTTTTTTATTCATTTACTTTTATTGAAGTGTATGTATTAGAGTACTGATTGTATGTCAATCATAGCAATACACACATAACATGGAGGGGGCAAATTGTTTCAGCCCTAGCTTTTACATAAAACTTCTTGTAGCTCACAGCTGATATACCACAGTTCAGTATTTAAATAAAATTTAGAATCTTTTTTTTTCAGGCAATTGTCATATACATACTAATCATGAATGAATTACCACTTACCAAATGACCACATCCTGAATCATCATACATTTTCTATGATTTTATCTCACTGGTTTTCTTTTAAAGTCACACAGTTTTCTTCTCTCTGAAATGATAAATTATGTCTAGGTACTATTGCATTCTAATTTAAACTAATTATGTAATAGCATTAGCAACAATCGGGATGGAAGAAAAAATAACCAGAAGTCTCTGTTGAGACTGTAGCTCTACTAGTTTGTACTTATCAAAAACTGATGCACAGAATTATGTATCTTGGTATTTGCATCTTTATTTGTGTGCCAAGTTATATTGAAATCAGACTAAAATTTAAGGAGGAGTAGCATGTTACAACTAACGGGCAGGGGCAAGGAATCATTACTATCGCATAAGCTCTTCTGGTCTCTAACAAGTAGAGCTAAAAGAAGATGCGCTTGAGAAACACAGCAACAAAGTTCGAAAATACAATTTTTTTTAGCATACAGTCACAGTCAGATCACATAATCATTGTCCTTGTTGCCATTTGAAAGCACTTCATTAGTGGAGTATGCATACTAAATATGAAGCCACTATCTCGTATAGTTCTAAAGTTATGGTGAAGGTTTAACTTGACAACAGACACTCAAGACATACACACAGATATACAATTATGGCAAAAGTTTGAACATTATAACTTGTGGTATACACACAGCCACTTCAAGGTATCAAGGGTAAAATTCACAGCACAGCGGGACTGCATTTTGACTTCGAGGGATCAAGGATTTCAAGAGATCAAGAGTTCGAGAAATCAAGAGCAAATCTGCTTAGTTATATAGTGGAAAAAATCGGGACCAGAGACTCACTTCAAGCGATCAAGAACTTCCGACCGAGAAATCGAGTTCAAGCCATCAAGAGTTACCTGTATATACAGATATAGTAGCATGTTATTATTTGCAATTTTGACCTAATGACAGCTAAATATGTTCAGTAAGACAATAGTTTGTGTACATGTATGTAAGTAGTTTTATTGTGCATGATTATTTACTTATTCTCTTGATCTTCTCAACTTGAAGTGTTCTGTATTTTATTACCAAGTTTGTAATTAACATAATGAAACATACCGTTTTCCACATCACATCCGTATCAGACCTCGACCAATATCAGCCCTAGGGCCTCTGTCCCTCTGGCTGATATTGGTGTAAGAGGCTAGGATGTGATATGGAAAAGGGTGTATTTATTATTCGCTATACATTGACCTACTCAGGTCAATAATTGTGAAAAAACTGATAATTCAAGCTGATGATTCATTTGCATTTCTTGACATACTATCAATATTAATTCACTATTAGGCTTTTCTTTTGTACATCTTCATCTTACAGGTTAGACATTACAAAAAAAAAATCTTTTGAGCAGTAAACTATTTCAATAAACAATAAAACAAACCTAATCTCTTCAGAAAAGTGGTCAGGCTTTCACCTACATTCACTTTTTTATGTATATTTTTCCTCCATCATATCATCGTCATGCGTATGATTAAGGGTTATGCTATTCGCTTCAATCTATTCCAACTGTTGAGTGTTCTGATGAGGATATCCTTCATGAATAATCGGATAAGCTGAGATTGAAGACACTTTTTGTAAAAATAATTAAAATATCGATGCTTTTATCAAAGTTTTGACTCTATACCTTGCCATAAGTCGTAAGTTCCAAAAAACAAGAGTTGGCTGGATATCCGAAAAGTCAGAAAACACATGTATTCAAACCGGATGTTCTACAGTCTGAATTTAACTACGAAACCATGCTCGGTGTAACTATTATCATCCGGATAGTTTGAGCGGGATTAATTTTTTTTTTTTTAATTCCGAAAAGTATTCATTTATATATAAAGAGAGAACATACATATGGACCATACATTTTAATAAACATGATAAAAGGCGAAACGTTGCCATTTTACAACATACAGCATGTACATGCACGGTGCTTTTGGGGCCTTCATATATTCTAAGTTATGCTATATCACTGTCTCATTTTTTTTTCTCTCTCTCTCTTTCTCTCTGCAATATATACACTTAACAATTTAAAACTTAGGTATCCAACTTTTCAAAATGGTGTCAGAACAAAAGTTGCCTCCGATAGTGAAGATTTTTTGTTGCCAAATATTACAACTATTTACCGTAAAAAGTTAACAAACATATACGTACACTAATCCTTCTTTGTTGGCCATTGCATTTATCACAGTCTTAAAGACACTGGGTGGTGAAACCATCTTAACTTTTCACATTTACCAGCTGCTTACACCTTCTTCTTCGTCCTTCTCGATCCTCCAAAAATGGCGCCTCGGGAAATTGACCAATGAAATAAAGCGCCTACAGAGCGATGCAAGATGGGAAATATAAACTGTTTACATTCACGGTTTCACTATGATTAAGTGTGATTATGAGACCTTATATTAGAATTAAATTAAGTTTTCCCCCTTTTCATGGAATAAAAAAGAGGGGCTCCTAAAATTTTTGCCGATATGATGTGTAGGCCTAGTATATTTAGAAAAAAAAAGCGGTTAAATACATGAGGCAAGAGCAGAAAAAAATGTTTCTTGCTTGACACCTCAACTTATTTGCCTTCGGGATATGGGTTTCGGGCTTGGTTGTTGGTAGTGGCCGTCCTTGCTGAAATTAAGTAACCCCCCCTCTCCCCCTTCTTTTAACTGTTACATGTATGATTATTAATTTATAATGTCACCCCAAAAGATGTTAAATTTTTAAAAGCACATTTTTTTTTATTGTGAACTTTCCACAGGAATTCTAAAAGGCATGAAAATGAGCTACAATTATAATATGATTCATTTATCAAGAACAGTTTTTTTTTATTTCAATAGTGATGATTGAAAAGTTCGGTGATTGATAATTCATTGCTAATAAATTGTTTTTTTTTGGGGGGGGGGATTAAATTACTAATTGAACTCCCTCCTTTTCTGGGTTTAATTTGATTTTGAGCCTGCTATCAATATTACTGGTGGACCTGCTAGACTTTTCTCTAATTGTTACATGTACATTGTACTTTAAACTCCTTGGCCTTTAGCTAAAAAAAATTTCCCACATCATTTTAACACGTAAAATTGTTAAATGAATCAGAATGTTGAAAACCTTTTTCTTAGGAGAGTTATATCTCTAGGTGGAACAAAACTAACATTTTATCAAAGGCAGGAAAATATAACAGTATTTTAATTCAGTATTTTAGTCGTGATTGGTATAAGTGAAGTCATGGGAAAGATTATGTCGAAAGTCATCTATACTCGTTGATGTGCAGGGCTGTACTTATGCATACAGCTTTAGCTGGTCCCGCCCTGTATTTCTTTAATGTTTTTTTTTTCGTTAAGAAATCTGGTAAGGTATGCTAGTAAAAATAAAATCCCGGTTAGTTTATTACTCTAACGGAAATTACTTTCCTACAGGCCTGAAGATCGAGTCTATTAGTCACGCAAGTTTTTTTTAAAAAGAGTAGCATGTCGGCGAAAAACATAGATAAAGAAATGTTTGTTGAAGTATTGACAAACTTCATACCTTTAATAGAATGAAATCAACAAAAACTGCACAAAAATACAATCGTGACAATTACTAGTATACAATGAATTAATTAATAGATTGCCTTAGCATGCACTACTTTAAAAGCCATTGTTCTTAAGGAAAACAAAATCATGCAAAATACTATAGACTTTTCTTTATCTAGAGCAATGACCTTTGGAGAAAAAAATGGCTGAAAATTTTTAATTTTGTTAAATATAGTGTATGTGCGTTTAGGACCCTACATTGTAATTTCATGCGAAAAGTGCAGGCGTTTACTACATGGGGATCTGCGTACATATTTAAACAAAAAAGGAAAGGAAAAAAAAAACGTTTTATGTGATGAATTATCTTATAAACATTTATCTAATAAATGTCTTTGTAGTACGTTAGATTACAAATTTCACATGAAAACCCATCAACAATATTAAATACAGTTTTGATTTCACATTGATCTATTAACGTCATTCTGATTTAATATAATTATACACGACGAGAATTAAGATCTATTCAATACCTATAGAAAATTATTTTATTTCTAAAGAGGATTGTTTTATTTTAAATCAGTAATGAAAATTGAAATAAAAATTCTAAATAGTTTGTTCTTTCATTGAACTTCTTAAATGTAGGTTATTTTATAAATATGTTCTCTTGTATAACTTTATTTATGGAATATACAATTTTTTAAATGATAAAAGAAACACGAATCATCATCTTAATTTAAAAGAATTTTCGGTCGGAGACTGTGTGTGTACATGCTCAACAACAGCCCATTGTTCCCTTTAGGTACAAAACCGTCTCAATTCACATAGAATATACAAAAAATACACGGTGACAGGTGTCTTCGCGGCACGTGTCTCCACCTGGATTGGCACGTGATGACAGGTGTCCCTAAATACACAGGCCGGCCATAGTGACTTTTTCAAAGCTTTTTTTTTGGGGGGGGGGGGGGCTTATAAAGGAAAAAAATGAAAAGCAACCCACCCACCCCCAATAATAAAAATAATAATTTAATAAATTAAAAAAAAATATTCACTATTAATAGTAAAATACTGGTATGAAAATACTCAACCCCCAGCCAATTCGATGAATGATTCTTATCTGACCAGTTTATATTAATATATTAATTCATATTAAAACAAAATCTTTATCACTTTCTAAACTTGTATTTAAAAACTTGAAACACTAAAAATGTAATTTTGACAAACCAACTGAAGTATTTTTTCCTGACGGATTACCCCGGTATATAAGAAATGCCAACCTCTGGTATCTAACACAAATGCCTGGTAAAGTACCTTGATGTCTTGTGAATACATGTAATTATGTAAAAATAATTCTTCGATGTCAACGGCAAAATATTGGAAAAAAATTTAATTATTTTATTGAGGAACGTCTCACCTGTTCTTAATCAGTAATCGTAACTTGACATATTTCTTTATTTACTTTTTAATCGATCTTTTTAGTAAACCTTTTCTGTAAATAATTTCTTTAAATGTACCCTTCCTTAGCTCTTCCATTTTTTCAAAGGATCATTCATCATATTCAGCTTCAAGAAAGTGGGATCGGAAATGATTGATTTCTACATAACTGCATACACTTACTATTTTTTTTTTTCCACTTCACGCATTCTATATGAGTTTACCAAAACTTATGTGATCAATCAAATTCAAAATTAAATTAAATTAAATAAAATTCAGTAAAATAAAATTAAATTAAAATTAAATTGCGTTCACGGTGCTGAAATATTAATTTAATCACACAGAAATACACATCTAGTTATTTTAACTGTTTGAAGTTAATTATTTTGATACAGCATGTAAACACTTTTGAAATATGGTAACATAATTAAATATTTAACTTTTTGTAAAATAAAAGGTAGGTGGGTTAGTATTGAGATATAATTTCAAAGTTTCCCTGCCTGGGAAACATGCGGAAAACTACACATTGGTGGCTTCCATGTCGGGAATCTATATGTTTACAGAGTTTACATGAGGCATGTTTACATGGTTTCCTATCTTGGGAAATTTTCCGGGAAACCACAGGTTGGTTGTTTCCATATCAGGAATCTACATGGAAACCACCGGGGCATGTTTCCATGGTTTCCTATCTTGGGAAACTTACGGGAAACCACAGGTTGATTGTTTCCATGTCGGGAATCTATGTGGAAACCACCGGGGTATGTTTCCATGGTTTCCTATCTTGGGAAACTTACGGGAAACCACAGGTTGATTGTTTCCATGTCGGGAATCTATGTGGAAACCACTATGTGGTTTCCATAAAATGGAAGCTATATGGAAACTACTGATGTCACGATTCCCATATGTTTCCATCGGGTTTCCAAATTTGGGAAACCTGGCTTTTCATCCTGTGTTCTATTGCATGTATGATTATGATAGATTTTGGTTGCGTTTTCGTGTAAAATATTTATAAAAATCATGTTGATTTTACAGCATTTGGTAGAAACAAAGCAAAGTAGGCCCCAATGCTTTAAAATAAACATGGGAAAAATTAAATCTCCCATATATATTGAAATTAAGAAAAACATAGTTTGATTCTGTAATTAATTTTGACAGGGTTATCAATAATCAAATTTCACACTTTTCAAGCATTAAAATCACCGTTGCTATGGTAACAAGGAAGATGTGACCCAAATAACTCATGTTGGAAAGGACATTCATCTATACTTCCATGCACCAAAATATTAAAGCAAAATATTTTTTTTTCACATTCCACTCACTTTATATACAATACTCAATGGTTACTGACACGGCCTCTTAACTCTTTTAAATGAAGTTTTCAAGATTAAAACTGTTTGAGGAAAAAGCAACAAAATGAATGTCTTTTCCTTAACCCTACATATTCTTTCAGATTTAGGGGGAGGTCTAAAATAGGCTTTGCCTGCTGCCCAATCCCATTCACTTATGTGAATAAAATTTTGTATAAATAAAAAAAATATTCTTTCAGATTTCTATTTTTTCATAATCAAGTCGTTTTGAAAATATATTAAATTAGATTTATGAATCAATACCTCCTACATGTATGGATTATATAAATACTTAATATTGCTTGTGAAGAAAATATAGGATACAAACAGATTTAGATTAAACTCAATAGTAAAAGGAGAAAGATTCATGTCTCATTCCTTACCACCTAAGAAAAAAACGTACCATGACACCATATGCCTATGTACCCATGATGAAATTGGC